TGCTGGTGTTGGAGCTGCTAGTCCTGGAGGTGCTGGAGGTGCTGGAGGTACTGCTGGAGGTACTAGAGGTGCTGCTGGTGCTGGAGGTACTGGAGCTGCTATTCCTGGAGGTACTGGAGGTGCTGCTGGTGCTGGAGGTGCCGGAGCTACTAGTCCTGGAGGTGCTAATGGTGCTGGAGGTGCTGGACCTACTAGTCCTGGAGGTAAAGCTGGTGCTGGAGGTGCTGGAGCTGCTGGCACTGGAGGTGCTGGTGCTGCTGGAGCTGGAGGTACTGGAGGTGCTGGAGCTGCTGGTCCTGGAGGTGCTCGTACTGGAGGTGCTAGAGCTGCCGGAGCTGGTGGTGCTGCTGGTGGTGGAGGTGCTGGGGGTACTGGAGCTGCTGGCACTGGAGGTGCTGGTGCTACTGGTGCTGGAGCTGCGGGAGCTGCTGGTGCTGCTGGTGCTGCTCGTGCTGGAGGTGCTACTGGAGCTGCTGGCACTGGAGGTGCTGGTGCTGCTGGTGCTGGAGGCGCTGTAGCTGGAGGTACTGGAGGTGCTTGCGCTGCTGGTCCTGGAGGTGCTCGTACTAGAGGTGCTGGAGCTGCTGGAGCAGGTGGTGCGTGCTGGAGGTGCTACTGGAGCTGCTGGCACTGGAGGTGCTGGAGGTACTGCTGGTGCTGGAGGCGCTGGAGCTGGAGGTACTGGAGGTACTGGAGGTGCTGGAGCTGCTGACCCTGGAGGTGCTCGTACTAGAGGTGCTGGAGCTGCCGGAGCAGGTGGTGCTGCTGGTACTGGAGGTGCTGGAGGTGCTACTGGAGCTGCTGGCACTGGAGGTGCTGGAGGTACTGCTGGTGCTAGAAGTGCTGGCGCTGCCGGAGCTCGTGGTGCTGCTGGTGCTGGAGGTGCTGGAGGTGCTACTGGAGCTACTGGTGCCGGAGGTGCTGGTGCTGGAGGAGCTGGAGCTGCTGGTACTGCCCCGCGCCGACTCTTTTTCTACCCGCAGCCGCAGTCGCCCCTGCCGCCGCCTGACTCGGTCCTTCGCCAGATTCTTAGTCTCTTGTCTTCCACTGGCCTCACTCCACCTCTCCTGTGTCCACCGACAGACCAGTCTCAGCCACAGCTACTGCCTGGCTCCCCGCTGCCTGCTCCTGCTCCTCACACTGAGGTGACTGAGTCCCTGACTGAGCGTCGTGAGCCTAAGACTCGTGCTTCCACACCTGTTCGTGCTCGTCGTGTCGCCCGTCCTCGTCCTCCTGCTGTCCCAGGCACTCACGGTATGGCACTTCGTCCTTCCTCTGTTCCACAGCGTGTTGTCCTGCCTGAACCTCCCGCGTCCTCTCTTCCGCACGTTCCTGACCCTGAGTCCGACCTTGCTCCTGCTGCCAGTCCTACTGTCACTCGTCTCCTCGCTACTGTCGTCACTGACCCTGATTTTGAGTCTACTGCAGCGTTTTCCCTAGTCACTGAGCTAGTCGACTTTGCAGCTAGGAGTCGTCTCAACTACGTCGCGAGTCTTGTTACTGAGTCTGAGTCGGTCTGTCCTCCGTCCATCGGGGGTGAGCCTGCCCTTAGCAGTGACGTCCTTGAGGACAGACAGTTTGAGCTTACGTGTCTTGCGACCGCTTTACCTCGTTTCGCATCCATGCTGCTTTGCCATGAGGGAGACCCGGATGCACTTGACATCCCTACCCCGCGCTCTTACGCTGAGGCGATAGCGGGTGAGTACTCCTCTTAGTGGCAGACAGCCATGGACGCGGAGATGGCTACCTGGAAGTCCACAGGCACCTACGTCGACGAGGTTCCTCCTCCTGGGGCGAACATAGTCGATGACATGTGGATTTTCAGAGTGAAGCAGCCGCCGGGTTCTCCGCCTGCCTTCAAGGCGCGTTACGTTGCTCGAGGCTTTAGTCAACGATAGGGGGTCGACTTCTTCCAGACCTTCTCCCCCACCCCGAAGATGACTACTCTTCGGGTGCTGCTGCACGTTGCAGCACAGCGTGACTACGAGCTGCACTCCCTCGACTTCTCCACAACTTTCTTGCAGGGCAGCCTTCACGAGGAGATCTGGCTGCGCCGCCCACCTGGTTTCACTGGGTCGTTTCCTGCGGGTACCCAGTTGAGCCTCTGTCGGCCAGTCTACGGTCTCCGCCAGGCGCCCTGAGAGTGGCACAACAAACTGAGGACTACACTTGCGGCTCTTGGGTTTGCTCCTTCCTCTGCTGACCCGTCGCTGTTTCTACGCACCGACACTACCCTGCCGCCGTTCTACGTTCTCGTGTACGTCGACGACTTGGTTTTTGCTACTGCTGACACTGAGGCGCTGGCCCTAGTGAAGGCGGAGTTGCAGGAGAGAAATACCTGCACTGGCCTGGGTGAGCTGCGTAGCTATCTTGGCTTGCAGATCACCCGGGACAGAGCACGGCGCACCATCACCCTCACTCAGTCACACATGGTGCACCAGATCCTTCTGCGCTTCGGCTTCCAGTACTCCTCGCCACAGCCCACTCCTCTGTGTACCGGCCACTCGCTCTCAGCTCCACCTTCGGACGAGTCCGTAAAGCCGAGTGGTCCATACCCAGAGCTTGTGGGTTGCCTCATGTACCTGATGATGTGCACACGACCTGACCTCGTGTACCCTCTCAGCCTCCTGGCTCGCTACGTGGCTCCCGGTAGACACCGAAAGGTGCACTTTGATGCTGCGAAGAGGGTACTGCGTTACTTGTGCAGTACATCGGGCATGGGGCTCGTGCTTGGAGGACAGGGTTCAGTGGTACTCACAGGACACTCCGACGCTTCTTGGGCTGATGACCAGGCGACTCAGCGTTCGTCACAGGGTTACATCTTCAGTCTTGGCTCTTGTTCTGTCTCGTGGAGGTCCACTTGTTCTTCTTCTGTGCTTGGTTCCAGCTGTGAGGCCGAGATCTACGCTGGGGCCATGGCTGCACAGGAGCTACGCTGGCTGACCTACCTGCTGACCGACTTGGGGGAGCGGCCTCGTTCTCCTCCAGTTCTGTACGTCGACAACAAGGCCATGCTTGCCTTGTGTCGTCAGCAGAGACTGGAGCACAGAACGAAGCACATTGCTCTTCACTATTTGCTTGCTCGAGAGCTGCAGCAGCGTGGTCAGCTTCGTCTTGCTTACGTGGCCTCTCGGGCCAACACTGCTGATGTCTTCACCAAGGCCCTCGGGTCTGGTGATCTTCAGCGTTTTTGCACTGCTCTTGGGCTTCTGCCCGTTCTACCTCACCTGCTTGTCTCTTGATCTTGCACTTGTTGTACACTGATATCTATATATATACCTGCATGTTTCCTCTTGCTAGGTTGTGATCAGTGTACTGCCTTGCTATTATAACTCTGCATGTGAACCGGCCTTGTGGCCGCTTGCTTGTGCTCGGATTGTGTGGTGTCCTTGAGATCCACCCTGAGCTTTGCTTTGCTTTGCTCTGTTGTGTTGCTTGACTGGTCTTGTGACCGTCTTGTTGTCCCCCACTTAGCCTATGGGGGTGTGTCAAAGTACAACCTTACTTGTAGGCTATAGTGGGGCACTCCTTATGGGGTACAACACTTCTAGGGTTAGTACTTGTACCCCAACTCTTGCTAATCCAATCATTCTTGCACAGTTATTCTGACAGTCGAGCTACCCTAACCTGGTGCGCCTGTGGGTGGCAGTCGCCGTGCTGCCTTTGAGTACGATGGAGTGTGAGCGGGGGTTTTCCCGCCAGAATATCATCAAGTCTTTGCAGGGGGGGAGTCTCAAGGACGCCCGGCGTGAAGACCTCATCACGATGTCCCTCCTCAACTACGAGCCAGACTACAACGAGGTTGTGCAGATTTGGCGCAGCTACAAGAAGCGCCGCCCCTTTGGCAATGTTGCAGCAGCGCCAACAGAAGAGGGGCAGGGCAATGGCAAGGGCAAGGTGGCAGCTGAGGAGGAGTGGGAAGAAGCAAAGGCTAATGGCATTGATGATGCATCCGACTCAGATGATGATTCTTGAGCTCCTGGGAAACTTGCAACGGTTCTAGAAGGCTGCATGTGATGTACATTTTAATTAAGGATTTTTATTAGTAACAGGCTTTTATGTTTGAGACTTACACTGATTTTTCAGGCTTTTTTTTTAGTAACACTGTCATTCAGCCTTCGAGCACAGGGAGACCCTGATTGATCAGGGCCTCTAAGAGTGAATCAGAGGGCTTGTCTGAGTTGGATCTTACGGGCCTGGAAGGCAGTGTCCGCCGACCTCATCAAGCGCGTCTTCCTCACCTGTGGCATCAGCAACGCACTTGACGTCAGTGAGGACGCGCTCGCCATGGCGCACATGCGGAGCCAGCTGACAGCGGAAGTGGATGTCAAATATGACATCATCGCCGATGGCTTCTTTGGCAACAATTGCCAGGAGCCGGAGTCAGACGATGAGAAGTAGATCCTAGGTTGAAAGGCCAAACTCCGAAATGTGTAGCTTTAGTTATAAATATTTGAATACTGGTATGTAGGAACTGTTGGTGCCAGTTTAATCATGGTACCGGTAGATAAATGTCAAATGTTAACGTTTTTTTTAAGTGACCTCTACAAGGTTGAAACTTGAAAGGGATGTGCTTATAATAAGTACAGGCTCCAAAGGGGGTGTAATCGAGTATCGGCCATATGCACCATGCTCCAGGTAGAAGCGCCCGCGCCTTTAATCAGACGACTCCTATATCCGGGGCCATACGGCTACCATTACAGACAAGTGTCATTGCAATTTCAAGATTATATTTGAAGAAAAAATTGCCAACCTCCCACCCACCTACAACCTACCATACGGTACATTCTGTAGGAGCTGACGTCCGCGTATACTATCTTAACTATGCAACTCTACATCGCTTCACATACTTTAACATGAAAGAATAACCATTTCTAGAATGCTGGAACTACTCCAACCCACGGTAGTCAACACGGCGGAAAACTAGCACTGTACATGCAAAGCTATCACGTAGAAGACAACACGGACATGCAGCAGAAATGGGGTACGCACGCAGTCACTCACGAGCAGGCATAGCTGGGCGACTGTGCTCTTGCTGATTGTCGTATGGTGGCCAGACCAGGACCACCTTTGCCCAACCCTACCACACCCACACCTGCACCCGCGCCTCCCTCCTTAGCAACTCCTCCAGCGCCACCAGCGCCGCCAACCTTCACAGCAGCAGGCCGCTGACAGCTACTAGGAGAAGAGAGAGCAGCAGGACTCACAGCGAGCTTAGCGCTGCTGGGCAGCCTTTCGAGAATGCTGGCCTCCATAAGGGCAATAGACCGCTCCACCATCTCCCTGCCTGCCCTGCTGTTGCTGCTGCTGCTGCTGCTGTGAGCCTCGTTACTGATTTCACCATTCAGCCCTCCATACGCACTGCGGTCCGTGCCGGGAACGCTGCTGCTTCTGGAGTTGCCAGAAGGAGAGCCGGTTCGAGTCAGCGGCCCTGACGCTGACACTGATGGTGATCTTGATCCTGATGCTGATGCTGCTACGGCTACTGCGGCTGCTCTTGAACCTGGTGCTACTCTTGCTCCATCCAAGCCCCTTCCAGCACTATCTGCCGCTCCAAACCTGCTTCTGCTGTTGCAGCCGCCGCTGCCGCTGCTGCCGCTGCTGCTGCTGCCGCTGTTGGAATCACCACTATCAAGATCCTCTTCCTCCAGGACCCCGAACCTCTCGCCGGGCCGGGAAAGGGGAGGAGCAGCAGCAGCACTAGTCCCAATGGTGATCGGAGGGCAGACGGGACGAGAAGGCGAGCGTAATGATGCAGGCAAGGGAGGCACACATGACGTGGCAGATAATGGAACGGCTGCAGCTGTGGCAGCAGCAGCAGCAGCAGCAGGTGTAGCAAGCACAGGTGCAGTCGGAGCCACTGCAGGAGCAGCAGCAGGGAGAGTTGTACCAGGCGTGAGGGAGGCCGCGGCAGTAGAAGCCTTCACAGGGGCGTCAGCAAGGGAAGCTGTGGGGAGGTTTGGCAAGCCAGTCCCAGGTGAGTGGGGCGCCACACTACTACTACCACTGTGGCATGCCCCATCCTTGCATGTCGCCCCGTCTCCCTCCTCCACGCCTACACCACCACCTTCTCTGCCTTGCACATCCGCAACCCTCACCAACCGCGTGACAACACCATCACCATCCTCCACCTTCCCCCTGTCTCCACCCACAAACCCAAACCCATCTCCCCTTACTTCACCCCCCCTCTCCTTAATCGATCCCTTCCCCGCCTCTTCCCCTCCTCCCCAGTCCCCACCCTCGCTCCCTTGCACAAACAGACCATGGATCTCTGCACGCACCTGTGCTATCCGTGGCTCATACCTCTCCCTAACTGCTGCAATCTCCCCCTCCATTTCTGCAACCAGACCCGCCTCTTGCTCTGTCAGAACCACCCATCTCCTCCCCGTCTCCCCCCTGCTCCCAGCACCCCTCTCACAACCCTTCTCCGCCTTCTCCACTCCCTCCCACCCCACCCCACCCATCATCGCCTTCCTCCCTGCCTCACCACCCTCTCCCTCCTCCCCTCTCCCACTCCCCAGACTACCACGTGGAGATTCGCCGAACCTGGACCTCCCCCCACTCCACCCAAACGCCCTCCCGTCCGGCCCAACAACCTCACCCCACTCGCCTTGCCCATCTTCTCCCTTCCTTGTCGCGTGCTCTGCCGCTGCTGCAGCATGCACGAGACTGCCCATGCCCACACTAAGGCTGCGCATCATGGGCGACTGGTACAGGGCCTTGTTTACTGACGGCAGGGACGGCAGTCGTGCCAGCTCACCGCCGTGACTGTATCCCGGCGTGACCGTGCCATCAGCAGCAGCAGCAGTAGCAGCAGCAGCAGCAGCAGCAGCAGCAGCAGCAGCAGCAGCAGCAGCAGCAGCAGCAGCAGCAGCAGCAACAGAAGCACCAGTAGGATTGACGTTAGCAGTCGCACCCCGATCTGCTCCTTCCACTGCACGCCTGGTCTCCATAGACCCACCTCCTGACAGCACGTCCTCCTCACTCTCAATAACAGACAGTCCATCACTGCCACGTGCACTCCCCCCCCCACCACCACCACCACCACTGTCCAGCACACCTCCCCCCTCCTCCACACCCCAGTCCGCAGCAGCAGCACCAGCAGGAACAGACGGATGCAATCCCGGCGACGGGGCAGACTGTGAGGAAGCCGACGCAATGGAGCTCCTAGAGCTATCCCCTGTGGGCGATCGGAACGACACAAACCGCCCATGCACCTGTAGCTCATCCACATCCACTGCTCCCTCCATCCCTAACAACCGCGACACACCTCGCGGCACCGCTTCCAGCCGCTGCCCCACGTGCGTGCCCACGCCAAAGGTGATGCTGTTCCCGCGGATCGGCTTGCTGCTGCTGGGAGGGAGGTGGCGCTTGGACGAGGCAAGCTTAGCGAGGCTCAGAGGGAACATCTTAGACGCCAGACGAGCCATGATCGTCGGCCCGTGGGACGGCGAAGTCAAACGTCCTGCTCCCACCCCTCCCCCTCCCCCTCCTCCTCGCCCCCCTCGCGCTCCTCCTCCCCCTCCTCCGAGTGCCACCAGGCCCTCAGGGATTCCATCCCAGCCTACTTGTACGGGACGTCGCCTCCCACTGGCTGATACGCTGGTTGGGACAACCAGATCACTGAGCGTTACAGCCAGCAACCCTGACCCCTCGCCGATCTCCACCCCTTCCTGCACCTCCTCTCCTCCCACCTGCTCCTCCGCCTGCCCCCCCACCTCCACCTCCTCCTCCATCTCCTCCGTTTCCCCCTCCCAGGCTTCTTCCTCCTCCTCCTCCGCAGCGTCAGCATGCTGCTCAGTCTCTTGCTCCACCTGCTCCACACTGCTACGATTATCCTCTGCCTTGCCTATTTCAGACGCCCCAACTTCTTCCCCCACCTCGCCCCCTATCTCTCCCCCTTCTTCCCCCCCTGCCTCTCCCTTCCTCTCTCCCTCTCCCTCTTCTCCTCCTCCCTCACTCCCTCCCTCTACTCCTCCCTCCACTGCTTCCTCCCTCACCTCCTCCCCACCACTGCTCACACCAGCCGTCTTCTCACCCTCCTCTCCGCCCTTTTCACTTTCCAACGCACTCTCCTCCCTCTCCTCATCCTCTTCCTCCATCCAATAAAGCTCCTCTCTTCTCAAACCCCCATGCGCCGCTCCCCCGCTCCCCCCCCCCTCCACCACTGCACCCCCCTCTGATCCCCTCCCAAAAGACACTGGCGGAGACCCCTGCGCCCCCTCCCGCCCTGCCCTTCCGCTTATCCCCGCCCATTCCTCCTCCTCCTCCGTCTCACTCCCCTCCAACCCCTCCTCTGCAACCCCAGACTCCATCCCACCATCAGCATCCCCATCAGCAACCCCCCCCACACCAACACCACCGCCACCGCCACTGCTAGAAGCCAGAACCAAGTCAGCGGCGGTCGCAGCAGCAGCAGCAGCAGCAGCAGCAGCCGCAGCAGCAGCAGCAGCATGGGCGGGGGGCACGAGGGCAAGGAGCTGGGCGTCAATTTCATCGGCGACGGATGCGAGGGCGGAGTCGGGCAGGCCTAGGGCGTCCACCATCTCGCATGCCACACTGAACGCTGAGTCTCGCGAAGTGTCAAACGGAAACTGAATCACGTGCATGCGCCCTGGCACAGGGGAGCGGGAGAGAGGGAGGAGGAGGAGGAGGGGGAGGCGCAGGCGGAGGAAGCGGGGGAGGGGGAAGAGGTGGGGATGGTGAGGAAATAAGTTACCAAGTAAGAAAAAAAAGAACAAGGCAAAACTAGCACCTGAAGTATGCCAGCCCTGGTTTCTGTGCACGTCTTTACTTCTTTCATGCAAAGGGCCATGCATTAGGAAGGGCGACCAATCCCCCTACCTACCAACCTACCAACCTACCAAGCAGCCAAGCAGCCAACCAGCCAACAAGCTCACGTGATTGGAGTCAGCGAGTGTGAACCCAACCCAACCACTGAACCTAAAGCACTTAGCTCGCTCCCTAACGCATCGCTCTGTGGCTCTGTACCTTTGCCATCTGCGCGTCGCAAGCGAATGCACACCGTGCGGCCCTCCTGCTGCTTGCTGCACTCCCCCCTTTCCAAATCAACATCCGACTCCACACTCGCCAACCCCTCCTCCTCCCCACGCCCCTCCCCTCCACCACACTCACTATCTGTCCCGCTTTCTCTCTCATGCTCCCCGCTCCTATTACCACTCCCCCTCCCATCCTCTTCCCCCTCCCCCTCCTCTCCCCCCTCCCTCTCAACGCCTTCATTGTCCTCCTCCCCCCCACTCCCCCCATCTCTCCGCTCACCAACCCCCTTCTCCGCTTCCCCTTCCTCGCTGGACCCCGCCCCCCACTCCTGCTGCTGCAACGTCTCCGCCATCAACCCCACAATCTCCGACCATCCTGCGCGTTTGCTGACCACCTCCTCCTCCGCCTCCCCCTCCTCCCCGCCCTGCTTCACCCACGCCCCAACCGCCTTAGGCACCTCTAGATTCGTGTCCCACACCCATGTCTCTTCCCCTTTTCCCCCGCCCCCAGCCCTTTCCCCTCCCCCTCCCCGTCCCCCGCCCCTCCCCCCGCGCCCGCCCTCACCCCCCCTGAAACTGACCAGCTCATCCCCCCCCAACCACCCCATCCCCATCCCCCTGCCCCCTCCAACTCCCCCCGCGTTCCCACCACTCTCCCCCCATCTTCCGCCTCTGCTCCCCCCGCTCCTCCCGCTCCTTCTTCCCCCTCCGCCCTCCGAGGGGGGGGGGCGGGAGGTGCGGTCGGCGGCGCTCGCGAAAGGGGGCTGCTGCAGCGACCCAGAGCCTTCCGCGAGGAAGGGGTGGCGCAGCAGGTCGCGCGCGGGCAGGCGGCGGGAGGCGTCCGCCAGACACATCTCTACAAACTCGCGTATGCCCTCGTCCGGAATGCGCTGCAGCGCCAGCGGCTTCTTGCCCTGATGGCGCAGGGCGGAGGGCGGAGGGCGGGGGAGGGGGTGTGGAGGGGCGAGACTGTGAGTGGCGGGAGTGATTGAGTGAGACTGAGAGGAAGGACGGGACGCGGGAAGGGAGAGGAGTACGGTAGGTGGGATGAGGGAGAAAGCAGAGAAAAGAACAAGAAAATCGCCAGGGGAAAGCAAGGCGCACTGGACGCAACCCGCAGACACCCTACCAACACATCAACCCACACCACCCATCATCACCCCACATCACCCCGTCATCACCCCCGGTCACCCATCATCACCGTCAATAAATACGCACCTCGGAGACCTTCTTGTAGACCTGCGCGGCGTTGGTGCACTCGCTGTAGGGGTACTCGAGCGTGATCATCTCCAGCACGCACATGCCGAACGCGTATATGTCCACCAACTCGTTGTACTCCTCCTCGTACAGCTCCGGCGCCATGAACTCCGGCGTGCCTGGCGTGTGGGGGAGAGGGGGGCAGCCAGGGAAAAGCGGTGTCGAGTCAAGTCAACGGTAGGGTGAGGCGCAGGGGGACTGGCATCAGCACATGCCGAACGCGTATATGTCCACCAACTCGTTGTACTCCTCCTCGTACAGCTCCGGCGCCATGAACTCGGGCGTGCCTGGGGGAGGGGAGGGGGGGTTGGGGAGGTGGGAGACCAGGGGACGAAAGCAAGGGGAAGGCGGTGCCAAGTCAGCGGTAGCGTGGGGGTCAGGGTTGGGAATGGAGTGGCAGCACGCTTGACGCGTATATGTCCACCAACTCGTTGTACTCCTCCTCGTACAGCTCCGGCGCCATGAACTCCAGCGTGCCTGGCGTGTGGGGGAGAGGGGGGCAGCCAGGGAAAAGCGGTGTCGAGTCAAGTCAACGGTAGGGTGAGGCGCAGGGGGACTGGCATCAGCACATGCCGAACGCGTATATGTCCACCAACTCGTTGTACTCCTCCTCGTACAGCTCCGGCGCCATGAACTCGGGCGTGCCTGGGGGAGGGGAGGGGGGGTTGGGGAGGTGGGAGACCAGGGGACGAAAGCAAGGGGAAGGCGGTGCCAAGTCAGCGGTAGCGTGGGGGTCAGGGTTGGGAATGGAGTGGCAGCACGCTTGACGCGTATATGTCCACCAACTCGTTGTACTCCTCGTACAGCTCCGGCGCCATGAACTCCGGCGTGCCTGGGGGAGGACGAGAGGAGAGGGGGTGGGGGGGAGTGGGAGACGCGGAAGGTCGGGAATGAGGGGGAGAGTGCGGAGCGAGCCGTAGGGTGAGGGTGAGGGGGGGTTGGGAAGAAGGGACCTGAGGGAGAGTGCGGAGCGAGCCGTAGGGTGAGGGTGAGGGGGGGCTGGGAAGAAGGGAACTGAAAAACACGAGAGAGAGGAGGGGGGAAGGGAGTGTGAAGGGTGAACAACAGTGAAAACACAGTCTCACATTGAAAAGCATCTTGGAGACTCCACGCCCTTGCAATCCCACATTCCACGTCCCCATGACCATACCACACCACCACCCGTGGGTCGCTTCCCTTCACCTCCTAGTGCTGTTCAACTTACCTACACGCAATGCCCCACGCAACCGCGTCCTCTTCCCCACTCTCTCTCCCTCTAGCCCCACCCACCCACCCACCCATCGGCCCTCTAAACCACCACCGTCGACTCCCTTCCCTGCAAGCAACCTACCAATAACACTATGCGCGGCGTCGCGGTGGTGCAGGATGGCGGCGAGCCCGAGGTCGCCGATCTTGACCTCGCCCTGGTTACCGTTGATGAAGATGTTGTCGCACTTGAGGTCGCGGTGGATGATGGGCGGGTCGTGCGAGTGCAGGTAGAATAGCCCGCGCAGCACCTGCCGCGACCAGTTCTTGATCGCGCGCAGGTCGCACTGCCGGTGCCGCTGCCGGAACCTGCCGCCCCACGAGCGGACACGCGCGCGCGGGAGGGAGGCGGGGAGGGGAGGCGCGTGCGGAAGATGGGGGGAGGGGGCGGAAGGGGGGGGGGGGGGAGAGGGCGCCAGCGGGTGGGGGAAGCCGCGGGAGTGGAGCGCGGGGGTGGGAGGGAAGGGAGGGGCGGTCAAGGGTGAGTAGCGAGCAGCGCAAAACGTGAACTGCACAATGCTCATGACGACGAATCGTGCCGTCAATCACCTTCAAGCAACAGACATTCTTCAAGAGGCAGAGGACCGACGCTTAGCACGCGACCGAAACACGAAAAAGCAGGCGGAATGGAGAGATAGAAGGATGCAGATATCGACGGAGCGGCGAGGGAGGGAAGGGGGGGGAGGGGGATGGAGAGATGGAAAGAGCGAGAGAGTGGAAAGGGGAAAGCGCGTACTGTCTGAGCGTGCCGGACGAGAAGACCTCCGTGATGAAATTGACGTTCTTGTTGCGGGCGTCCACCCACGAGTCATAAAACTTGATAATGTTCTTATGTCGAAGGGTCTTGAGCAGATGCACCTCGGAGTAGAGGCGCTCGAGCTCGTCATGCGACTGGAACACGTCGCGCACCTGCACCTGGTTCCATGCCACCTCGATGCCCTCCGCCTTGTCGAACGCCTTGTATCTGCAACACGAAAAAGAGTCAATAACGCCAATGCAAGAAAAGGATGACGAAAGAAGTTGTGGACTTAGCAGCTTCGTTAAGTGAAGTAACGCGGGGACGAAGTGCCAGGCGAGTGAGGGATTAGCGGGCGCGGCAGACAAAAGACGGAAGGACGGACGAAAGGACGGACGGACGAACGCACAGACAGACATGCTACGAAGTGCTATGTGGGAAGGAGGAGCAGGAGAGCCGCTTACACTGTCTTGAAGGCGCCTTTTCCCAGAACAGCCCTGAACTGCACGAGAAGGAGGAGCAGCGCACAGTTGGAAAGGGAGGAGATGGGCGACACGGGGGAAACAAACTGTGAGGAGAAACAACCAATCGCTGAACGCAACGCTGGCTGGCGGAACCGTAGTAGCGGGACGGAGGGAGTATGAAAGGTACAGCGAACGATGTCACGATACGACAATTTGAGAAAAACGAGCATCTGAATGTAAAAACAGAAAGCGATATGCAAAAGACGACTATAACAAATGGAACATAACCGCAGATATCAAAACTGCTTCGAATGTCACTCCGTGAAAATGCTTCTTTATCTTGTGACAAATCGCACGCGACCAGCATCGAAGTGACATGAAGTGGCCTACTTGCAGCGATTGGCTAGTCTAAAGATCCACCGCAAGAAAGAAAGTTCGGTGTTACGCAGCCAGCCGATAAGCACAGCCACAGGACGAAGCCTCCTAAACATCAGAAATTCAGAAAGTATACGAATTCAATAAGATAAGTTCACGTACTCGACAATATCTGCCTGATGGGTCCTCCTCCACAACTCGACTCTCCTCGTCGCTATCGTCATCGTGCAAGCTCCCCACACTCGACGTCTTCAGCATATCTGAGCGTGGACCCATGGATTACTACTTAATCTTCCACCACCACCGCAAGCCAGGGTCACGATCCTATCCACGTCGACTGTGTTACCTGAAGAAAAGAAACTACCGTCGTCCTGCTGCGGGTGTTGAAGCAGATGATTAGAAACCTAATTGCTGGGAACCCCTGGCAGGCTGGCAACAGGAGCACAGGGGCAAAGGTGGGCCTGCAGGTTGGGTTGGGTGGGAGGGAGGGGCACTGGCTGGCGCCTGGACGTGACAAGGCTAGAGCGCGCGGGTGGCAGCAAAAGCGGAAGTGCGCGGAATTGCGCGGTGTGTGGCGATGAAGGGAATCCTTTCCGCGGAGTATCAGATGCTTCTGCAAGCCCGGCCCCAACCAACTTGGGAGGGGAGGGGAGGGGGGAGTCCTCCGCCATACAAGGACGCGAGGGCGAGAATCTCGGGGGTGTGGGTAGGAGGGGCAAAGACTGCTTCGAAGAAACCCCCGAGATCATCACGTCGCGGGCACGGTGGAAACTCCGCGCCCAACGGACGGGGCATTTTTGAGGCTTCACAGAACAAAGATCTTTCTAGCACTTCCCAGCTACACCCTTGATTTAGATTCAAATAGACTTCGCGGTAAGATTATTCACTATTTATACACATGCAAATAATGTGGAGAGGTTGGTTGAGGTAATTGGATTGGTCAGAAATTACAGAAATGAAAAGTCTAGAAGTTATCAGTAAGCTGAATGTACATGTGCACAAACAGGCAAGAAAGGTTAAGGTTAAGGTTATAGAAGGTCGTAACCATGTACAGCAAAGCATATAGCAGCTAGAAATATGGCCTACACAAACCAACAGCACAAACGCGTACGTAGGAAACACGTTATTTCCTTATCGAATGGATAACCACCAGCACGGCTAAGGAGCTCTCTATGCTAAAAAAGGGAAGGATTAGGGGGGGCGGAAGGGGTCCCCAAGCAGCCAAGAAGCGCGAACGTCTATGCAAATAGAAAGGATTTTGTCGTGGTCGAAAACGAGGAAGCGAAATCGAGTGGACAGCTTGATACGAACGACTGTGCGTGTCAAACTGTATGTTTGTGTTATCTCTATGCTATAGTGGGTTAGCCTACAAGGGGTACAACAATTTAGGGTTAGGTATTTGTACTCATGCATGCTACCTAGTCCATCATTCCTGCCTGCTTATTCTAACATGGTATTAGAGCAGAATCGTTCCTAGGGCCCACCGAACGTTCCGCCCCTGCGGCCGCGCTGCCCTTGCAGCCCGCGTGCTGCCCCTGCGACCACGCTGCCTCTGCAGCCGTGCTCGCCCCTGCGACCGTGCTGCCCCTGCAGCCGTGCTCGTCCCTGCGACCGTGCTGCCCCTGCAACCGTACTCGCCCTGCGACCGTGCTGCCCCTGCAGCCGTGCCTGCCCCTGCGACCGTGCTGCCCCTGCAGCCGTGCCTGCCCCTGCGACCGTGCTGCCCTTGCAGCCGTGCCTGCCCCTGTGGCCCGCGTGCTGCCCCTGCAGCCCGCGAGTTCGCCCCTACAGCCCGTGGGCGCAGCCTCTGCAGCCCGCGCGCCGCCCTGCCGATCCGCGCGTCGCCCCTGCAGCCCGTGGGCGCTGCCCCTGCAGCCCGTACGCCGCCCTGCAGAGCCGCGCGTCGCCCCTGCAGCCCGTGGACGTTGCCCCTGCAGCCCGCGCGCCGCCCTGCCAAGCCGCGCGTTGCCCCTGCAGCCCGTGGGCGCTGCCCCTGCAGCCCGTACGCCGCCCTGCAGGGCCGCGCGTCGCCCCTGCAGCCCGTACGCCGCCCTGCAGAGCCGCACGTCGCCCCTGCAGCCCGTGGGCGCTGCCCCTGCAGCCCGCGCGCCGCCCTGCCGAGCCGAGCGTCGCCCTTGCAGCTTGGGCGCCGCCCTGCCGAGCCGCGCGCCGCCCCTACAGCCCGCGCGCCGCCCTGCCGAGTTGCGCGTCGCCCCTGCAGCCCGTGGGCGCTGCCCCTGCAGCCTGTGGGCCGCGCGCAATCCTAAACCCAAAAAAAAAAAAAAAAAAAAAAAAAAAAAAAACTTTGCTGCTGCTGCTACTCGTGCTACTACTGCTGCTGGTGGAGGTGCTGCTGGGAGTGCTGGAGGTGCGGCCGCTCAGCCCCACTGAGCCGCCCTGCTGCTACTACTACTTCTACTGCTGCTACTCGTGCTACTGCTGCTGCTGGTGGATGTGCTGCTGGGAGTGCTGGAGGTGCTGCTGGTGCTGGAGGAGCTGGAGGTGCTGGACCTACTCCTGACCGTCGCTGTCTGTCATGGCCACTATCGCGGCAGTTGCTGCGGCCAGGGGTGGACAGCAGCGAACACTGCCTCTCCCGGACGACCCCACCCCTCAGCAGCTTCGTGAGTGGGTTGTTCAGCGAGGCCGTCCTGGTGGTGGAGGTTATCGTTATGTTAGGGCTGCTGCTCTTGGTGCTAGTGAGTCTGTTGCCGCTCCAGGTGCTAGTGAGTCTGCCGACGCTCTAGGTGCTAGTGCGTCTACTGCCACAGGTCCTGCCTCAGCTGAGGTCTTGCACACTTTCACGCTTGACTCAGGCGCGTCACGTTGCTTCTTTCGTGATTGCACCACAGTCACACCACTCACAGCACCTGTCCCAGTCTCACTGGCTGACCCCTCTGGGGGCCCAGTAGTTGCGAGAGCCTCCATGGTCCTCCCTTGTCCAGCAGTCCCCTCCGGTTCTCTGTCAGGTCTCCACCTCCCCACGTTCTCGACGAACTTGGTGAGCAACGCTGCCATTCAGGATGTCTGGGTTGATACCTTTATTCCTGGAGGGCAGCGTGTGGCGATCTGTACGTGCTCCCGGACTGGCCGTCACCTGGCTACGTTCACTCGACAGCCTGGGTCTAGTCTGTACACACTGACCACTGCGTCTGCACAGGTAACTGAGTCAGGTCAGGTGGCTGCGTCGAGTCGGGCGTCTGCGTCGGGGCAGTTAGCTGCGTCTTGCTCGTGCAGAGTACTCACGCACGAGACTCAGCGCTGGCACCACCGTCTTGGTCACCCCTCCCTGCCGCGTCTACGCAGTATGCACTCCCGTCTCCTTGTCTCTGGCCTCCCCAGGACCCTGGCCCCCCTGCCGCGCTCGCTTGCCCCGCCGTGCCTTCCTTGCGTCGAGGGGCGGCAGCGCGCCGCTCCTCACTCCTCCGAGTTTCCTCCGACCACTGCTCCTCTGCAGACTCTCCACCTGGACGTGTGGGGCCCGGCCCCCGTCGGTGGGACGGACCTGGAGCGCTACTTCCTGCTGGTTGTTGACGACTACACACGCTACACCACAGTCTTCCCCTTGCGTCGCAAGGCGGACGTCAGCGGTGTCTTGATCCCCTGGATCCGTGCTACTCGTCTCCAGCTGCACGAGCGCTTTCAGCAGGACTTCCCAGTCCTGCGTCTGCACTCTGACAGGGGTGGTGAGTTCTCCTCTGGCGTCCTTGAGACGTTCTATCAGGACGAGGGCATCGCCCAGTCGTTCACGCTTCCGGCCTCTCCGCAGCAAAATGGGATCGCTGAGCGTCGCATTGGCCTGATCATGGAGGTTGCTCGTACCTCCATGATCCATGCGGATGCTCCCCATTTCCTGTGGCCGTTTGCGGTCCGATACGCCGCGCATCAGCTCAACCTCTGGCCCCGTGTCTCTGCTCCAGAGACCTCGCCCACACTCCGTTGGACGGGACAGCCTGGTGATGCGTCGTCGTTTCGGGTCTGGGGCGCGCTCTCCCTTGTTCGCGATACCAAAGCGAGCAAGCTCTCTCCTCGCACTCTCCGCTGTGTCTTCCTGGGCTTCCCCACCGACGCCCCGCCCTGGCAGTTCTACCACCCTGCCTCGCGTCGTGTTCTGTCCTCTCAGGACGTCACCTTTGACGAGTCGGTCTGTTACTACCGACTTCACCCACACGCGTCCCACCCGGTCCCCCTCGCGCCTCTCTTCCTGGTACCAGTCCCCCCCCCGGTAGACCCCCTTCCCCCACAGGGTCCTGCTCCCTCAGGTGTGTCTCAGGTAGACCCACCCCCCTTGGATGAGCCAGTGGAGATCTCTTCTGACTCCTCTGACCCAGCTGAGGGGGGTGTCACCACCGCCGACGACACGGCGACCACTCGCCGCACTCCTCGCTTGGAGACCCCCCCGGGTTTCCCGCCTCGGCCGTCTTCGCCACCTCCGCAACCTGCTGATGTGGACTCTGGAGCTGAGGCTGCTGGAGCTGGGCCTAGGGGTGGTACGTCTGGGGGTGTCCGCTCTCCTCGTTTGGCTACCCCCCCCGGTTTCCCGCCTCTGCTACCTTCTGCAGTGGACACTGGAGCTTAGACTGAGGGTGCAGGGACTGAGGGTACTGAGCCTGCGGGTGCTGGGACTGAGGGTACTGAGCCTGCGGGTGCTGGGACTGAGGGCATTGAGCCTGCGGGTGCTGGGACTGAGGGTACTGAGCCTGGGGGTACTGAGACTTGGGGTGCTGACTCTGGGGGTGCTGAGACTTCGGGTGCTGACTCTGGGGGTGTTGCGAGTCCTTCTGGAGGTCCTGGAGCTGGAGGTACTGGAGCTACTAGGCCTGGAGGTACTACTGGAGGTACTAGAGGTACTACTGGTGCTGGAGGTACTGGAGCTGCTGCTGGTGCTGGAGGTGCTGGAGCTGGAGGTACTAGAGGTGCTTCTGGTGCTGGAGGTGCTCGAGCTACCACTACTGGAGGTACTGGAGCTGGACAGCCACCGCAGCCTGCTCTACTTGAGACGCTCTCGCCGCAGGCGATTCGTGCGTGGGTCGTTCGGCGAGGCAGTCCTGGTGGTGGAGGGTACGGCCCTGCTGGTGCTGGAGCTACTAGTCCAGGAGATGCTGGAGGTGCTGGAGGTACTACTGGAGGTACTGGAGTTGCTAGGCCTGGAGGTGCTGGAGGTGCTGCTGGTGCTGGGGGTACTGGAGCTGCTGCTGGTGCTGGAGGTACTGGAGCTGCTAGTACTGGAGGTGCTGCCGGTGCTGGAGGTACTGGAGCTGGAGGTACTGGAGCTGCTGGTGCTAGAGGTACTACTGTTACTGGAGGTGCTGGGGGTGCTGGAGCTGCTGGCACTGGAGGTGCTGGTGCTACTGGTGCTGGAGCTGCGGGAGCTGCTGACCCTGGAGGTGCTGGTGCTACTGGTGCTGGAAGCGTTGGAGCAGGTGGTGCTGCTGGTGCTGGAGGTGTTGGAGGTGCTACTGGAGCTGCTAGCACGGGAGGTACTGGAGGTACTACTGGTGCTGGAGGCGCTGGAGCTGGAGCTGGAGGCACTGGAGGTACTGGAGGTACTACTGGTGCTCGAGGTGCTGGTGCTGTCGGAGCTCGTGGTACTGGAGGTGCTGGTGCTACTGGTGCTGGAGGTGTTGCTGGGGGTACTGGAGGAGCTGCTCGTGCTGGAGGTACGGGAGCTGCTGGTGCTCTTCGCCACCTTCTCAGTCTTCCGCCAGGTGCTACTGACTTCCCTGTGGCAGGTACTACTCCTCAGTTACTGTTTCCACCAGCGGACCAGTCACAGCCGCCGCTGCTACCGCACT